GCACTTGAGGGTTACTAAATAATCCACAATAAGCACTTACTTTAGATCTGAAGGAAAGCATGCCATGTGAATTATTGCAAAAACATGATGGCAGATTTGAAATACTGAGGTTTGGTTTTGTTTCTAGTAAGACACCCTAGATCTCATTGTGGCTGATGAATAGCCAGGTTTTGCATCCCTCACAGTTACTTTTAGAAAACTGTTCACAACTAATTGGTCATTCAGTTCTTGGCATATTCAGCATTTGATTCTACCCCTTTCATAAAACCTCCCCAGAGAGCAGGGCAGAAAGGTGCGTTTACCCTTTTCCTCATGCCATGATAAAACAGCATTGCAATTAAGCCAGAAATATCTGTCAGATAGAAATACTTGAGAAAATATTAACAGACAAATTAATCTTGCATACACTAGGTTTTAAAATACTTTGAGTTTCTGAGATGTCATTTTCTGCTGCTTCTACGTGTGCATGTTTCGTGTCCTAGCTCACATGGCATTTCCATTTCACTGGAATTATTACTCACACACAAAGGCAATCCCTTTTCTGATACAATACAAGATAAGCTTCTGCAGAACCTGGCGGTTCTTCGAGTTCACAGCTAAATATAGCGCTTGCTAAGGTGACACACATCATCTGCCTTGATAATATTATGCATGGTATGGGAATCATTCTAATACTGCATTTTTTACTTTCTATCTTTACAGGAGACTATTTCCAATAATATACTTGCCTATTGTAAGACAAAACGCAGCTACATTTTCTTACATACAAAAATAATGCTTTGAAGGTTAGTTCCCTGAGAAAGGAGAAACTATGCACCATGATATTCCACGCACTATCCCCTTCCCCAGAACCAGAGCTCAGACAGTGTGCTGAATTACATCCACATATCATAAGTATCATAAGTTTTAACCCAGCTTTGCTATCACAGAAGTTCAACTGCAAAAATCAAAACAAATACAAGACAGCAAACTTTAAATTGAAAAGTATTTAACTGAAAACAATGGACAATGTCCTCACCTTAGAGCTAGGGGAGGAGTGTGAAGGAAATTGCAGTCTTAAGAGTAGTAACTCCTGCAAGAGTCACGCTCAAGTAATGCTACCAAAACCATCAAGATTACCTTGGCTTTGTGCCCATTTTAACGGCCTAGCCTTTCACTGGAAGGCTTTAAAAACATTTCAGGTTTTGAGTAACCTTCTCTTCAGAAAACTAATATGACCATAAACCACTCTTGATCTAAAAGTCATCATCCTTCTTTATGAGAGTCAAAGGCTACTGCAAGCATCACCAGGAGAATAAAGTTTATGTGGAAAAACAACAGCATGGTCTAACTAGTTACTAGCTTGGTCAGATGTTTGCAAGACATATGGCTACGTAAACCGAGCCTTCCCTTTTATTTCAAGATTTGTATTCAACTTTACAGGCAAGTAGACCAAAGTTTTGCTCGACTAACTTACTAATCCTAGGTCTTACAAACATAATGGTACCTGCTTATTCATCTATCATGTCATTAAATGAATAAATAATTCTCAACCCCCAACATGCAGAAGAAATACAAATGATAAGGTGCAGCTCATAATATATGGCTGGTGTAGCAAAGGCCCAAAACAGAAGCATTATATTTATTGAGGGAAAACTGCACTCCTAACCAGAATGATGTGTGACTTCAACTGTGTGTGCATTACAGCATAGCTTAGGAGCTCCATAACAAACAGCAGGAGCAAGTCTGCTTTGCTCTCTTCAAAAGCAGTTTCATGAAGGCTTAAGCTCTCCAGTTTGTATTCAATAATGCACTGCTTTTAGACATTCTTCACTGTCAGTCTCCTGATTTTCCCATTTTATTTACAAACAAGATAGAAAAAAAAACACCTAGGACTTGGGTGTACTCCTTTTTCTTCTGCTCTTTTACTTGAGTGAAAAGACAGGTACCATTTGAAAAAAAGGTTGTCCAACACAGTGACAAGAGCAAGTACCTCAGAGTGACTCAAGCACTATCTATTCCTGCTCTTTATTACAGTCAGGAAACATTTTATGGGGATATTAAGCTCCAGTCCTTGCCAGGAAAATGACTGTTTGGCATACACAGCATCATTGTGTATTAGTTCTGTGGAAAAGGGAAGTTGCATATCTGTCAAAAACAGCAAGCAGGCAGTAACCTAAGACTCAACAAGGAGAATGCTACCCCAAGCAGTTTCCTCATTCTAGACCCATCACAACTGGGCACTGTTTTGTATAGCCAACAGGAATCAGATGCACAGTTAGAAAATGGCACTCAGATGCAGTAAAGCCAACTTATTCTCACATTCTTTCTATGAAATCTAATATCTCAGGAAGCCTCTGTGGTTATATCCACAACACTGTACATGGTGCATCCTCAAAGACTGAATTCTCTCAAATCCAAGCTTGTCTAGCCTAATCTTTGGAGGAGAAAATATTTTTTAAAATCCAAACACTCGAACTTCTAGACTTATGGTGATATCCAAAGCCTCACAGCAGCCAAGAGAGCTCTAATAAGAAGGACACGTTCTAGATTCTTCTTAAAAATAAACAAACTTTCCAAAACATGCAGAGCAAGGGTCTTGCAAAATTATCCAGTTCTGAATTTCTGCATATAGCCAAGGGCCATCTTTCACTGGAGTTCTGGCACTAGGCTCAGGGCCGCTCTGACAGAGAAGGAGCTCTATCTCCACAGCATCCAGAGCCCAGAGTCTTGGTTGCACAGATGACACTTCATTTATTCTAAAGTATGGCCGGAGACAGGAATGACTGAGTGCACAGCATTTGTGGTGGCAGGCAGTAAGGGGAGCCTCAACTGCTCTTCTGTTTCATGAGCTCTCCTTTAAATGTTAACAGGCTGAGACACACACACAGCTCTGGAAAGATGAAGATGGCCATCTAGCCACAAACTACTCTCTGAATTTTCTAAAATACAACATTAGCAGCTGCACAGGTTCAAGAGACCTAGAATAGACACTCATTCCCATTTCCCCTTTTCCTCTTCTACCTCTGCTCACAAATACTGACTAGCAGCAAAGCCACAAGGTAACAGGTGCAAATTGAAGCTTCTCTGGGAAAAGTAATTGAATGCACATTTACTATCTCCGAGTCAATGTTCCAGCTCTGCAGATGTTGGAGACCTTATGTGTGTTTAAATAAAAGAAAGAAATGTCTGAACTTAATTTGGCAATCACCAGCACTTACTAGGTGTGCACCAAAGCAAAAACCCTGCAGGGGACTGGGGAATAGGCAGAAGAACAGCTAGTTCCTGCATTCCTGTCTGTGTTATGCAGGACCTATGCACAGGTTTTCTCCAATGGGGGCAATTCCAGGCATGCTCAGAGACAGATTCGGGTGCCTGGGGAATGCAAACGCAAACAAGGTGGTAAGCTGAGGCACTTTCAGTGTTAAGCAGCTGCTGGGTGGCCAAAAAAAGAAAAGCGAACTGCAGTTTGAAATGAAGGCATCTCAAATAAACTGTTTTAGTTAATACTGATTCTATTGTATTTCTCCCTATGAAGCCCTACCTTCAGCTGAGGAATTTAGCCACTATTGTATTAAAGAAAAAGCTACCGATTAATCTTTGTACAGTAAAAATCAACATTCAGCAAAATATACCAGTAGCTACTGGCAACATGCATGTAGCCAATCAAGATACTGTACCAACCCTTGCAAGAAAGGGAAAAAAAATCTAAACTTTTAGCACAATCTCTTCACCCTAAGGGCTGCCTTCCCACATCCGGCTGACTATACAGCAGAACAATGATTGTCATTCAAAATACACCTGAATTATCATGTCCCTAGAAAGTCCCTACCTGCACACTTCTTAAACTAGCAGCTCTGTAGGAAGTCCTTAGGAAGTAGGCATGCATCGAACAGTGCTAAAACAAAAAGATACAGAGAAGAGTGGAAATGTTATCCGAAAGAGTTCTTGCACATTTCATTTTATATTTCACAAGAAAGCACAGATCACTGCTGAACATATGGTATCTTCTTCACTATACGTGCAGAGAACTGTGGTAGAGCTCCCTTCTGCTGAGAGGGCAAAGGTTTCACAAGTACCTCAGATGCTCAGAGGCCTGGATCTAAGAGGTGACATTATCTACCTCACCCTACCGCAGCGGATATTTGAAAATCTGATCCTAAAGTGACATCAACAAGTTAATCACTTCCTTTTCTGTGACCACAGATGAGCACAACACCTTTTGTTGCATAAGGCAAACCTCAAAGGGGAGGACCCTCTCAAGATACATTGCTTTTATCTGCTAGGTCTAGCAAATCGAAACAACTGCTGTAAACAGGGCTGGCTTCTGCAGAGCTGTGAGGAGCAGATGAGAACGGGGCAGGTTTCCCTGGCATGAAGGAAACCCCAGGCTGCCACCCTGCTGCAGGAACTGGTATTGGACTATCAGGAAGAGAAGCCTTGTTTTTCTGGGTGACAGGGTCAGAAACACTTGCTGCTTTGAAACCTTGAAAGGCCTCTGAAGGGACAGCATTCAAAATAACATCTTCTGACCTGCATACCGGCATCCTAGCACACATCTTGAGAAACGGGGAGGGCAAAATAACCATGAGTAATGAGGCTTCCTACAATAAACACTGAAAAGACACCAGCTGCTAAACAAGGTTTGTTCGATGCACATCATAAATTATGCAGCCTATCTCATGATACAGCTGATGATTGCTTAAGGTAAGTGAGAACTCACAGGCTTTGAAAATACATAGTGGTTACAGAGAGCCTGAAGGACTTGGGTCACAAGTACAGTTGCAAACCATATATCATTACAGAGAAGCACTTATCTGTGCTGTAACATATGTATTTTATCCATACGCTGTCCAGTTGAAAGAATTGTATATCTTGTTATATGATCTGTATAAAAGTACAGTAGCTCAAATAACTTGTATGAATATTTCACACAGATATCAGCATGTTTTAACTTTCACTCTTCATTAAATATCCAGTGGCTGAAAAGAAAGCTCTCCTTATGTGTGTCTGTTACTTACCAACCTGTGTCAAACGGAGTAACTCTCTGCCGTAGAAGAATGGCTCACGTCCTCTTCATTTTCTCTGTTTTCCTCAGCTTGCTTTGTGGTAAAGGAGAGCTGCAACTTCAGAATAATGAGGATTGTCAAAGTGGAATTCACTGCAAAAGAAGAAAAGAGAACATTACAATCTGTCCAGCAGGTATTTCACAATAGTTTATTAGAGGCTGTTAGTTTCTTTAGGATGCTTTTGGTTTATATAACACTACAGTAGTACTGAGATAACCTATTAGGTCTGCAGAAATTTAGACACATTAAGCCTGATTACCTTTTACAATAAGTGCATAGCATTCAAAGGTTATTGTAATGAGATTCTGTAATCAAAAGACTTCCTTTCTGTGCTGTGAAATTATATATATATATATGTAGGTGAACAGGGAGCATACAACTCAGCATACATTTAACGGATTTTAATGCTATGACATAAATTCCACTGCATTTGTGCTCTTAAAAACCACTGCAACTCATCTAACAAATCTGCATAATACAGTTACTTTATATGAGAAAAATTCAAGGATTTTTTTTTTTCCTGTTCAAAGGTTTTTTCTGCCCTGAGAACAGCATCACACCAGTGCCATGCCCCCCTGGCACTTTCCGTTCAGAAGGAGCAGCACTGATATCACACCGTTGCTTGACATGCCCAGTGGATTTCTTTAACCCTATGCCTGGCCAAAAAGCATGTCTTCCATGCGGCTCAGAGGCTACACAGCCTGTAGAAGGTCAAGATACATGCATCTGCCTTGGGAATGGTCAAGTGTTCCAGGTACAGAAGCAGTCCTGCAAAAACAGTTCAGTTCTTGTACATTTCTCTACCCACTATTTTAGGCTTCAATCTTCACTTCCTTTACCTTGCACAGAGTACTCTATGCCATCTTTCCCTCTTTAGCATTGGCAATATTCAGTCCTCCATCTCAGGACTTGGGATATCAAGGTTTCATCGATCTGTTCAGAAATTGCAGCTGATGGCACCAGTAAGGTACAAGGTCTAACCCAGGAAGTTGTCTGCATGAGATGGCAGGTTTATAGATAAACATCTGTGTTTTTTTCCAGCCCCGTGATGCTCACTGTACATGCCCTCCAGGTTATTGGAGCCCCTTTGACAACAGGAGACGTTGCATCAGAAAAGTGTATGACATTTGTAGGGATCCGTCTTCCCGAAATCAGGAAGGACAATGTTTAACTGAGAAAGGATGGGCTCATTACTGCTCAGAAAAGGTATTACGATTTTGGCATTACTTAAGACCAAGGATTATGCAGTACTTCCCTAAAAATAAATTCCTTAGCTCTTTTTCATTAGACATAGGTAGCATGAGAACCAAGTGTTATTAACGTTTTCGCAGGAGGTTTTGGCTCATATTATTTTGCTCTTCTTCAAACTGAAATAGGAAGCTCAGAATTCCTCCCTTGCTTATTCTTGTGTAGGTTTGTACCACACCTGGAGATTATGAAGGCTATGATAAGGTTCTTGGGCTCTGCATTTGTCAAGCTGACAGTCTGGAAACTGTCTGCAATTCTCAATGTAGAAGACAACAAAGAGATATTTTGCAGTTCACTTGTGCAGAAGAAAATGCTCAGCTTTTCATCACTTACAAAAACAGGAGCAAGGTAAAGGATTGCATTTATTTTTACTACAGTATAACGATCTACACTCAAAGGCCTTTTTTTGTTTGTTTGTTTTTAAAGGGATCCTTTAACCAAGGAATCCTCTTGTTCTTCTCTTCTAAAAGAGCAGCATAGAAGAAAATAAGCATCTAGGCTTTTTTGTTTACGTGCAGTGTCTTTTTGTAACTGGCATTACACTGCAGCTGTAGCAATCACAGTAAAAACTTTCTGACTTCTCCCTTTCTTTCTATTAGACTACTGCTTTCTTGAAGGAATTAAGAACAGTTCTATTACAACTGGCTTTCCCTCTAGAAGTCTGCACTTCACAGCAAAGCAAATCTTCCCATCCGGTATACATGGTGAAAACAAGTGGTAAGAAAAAGGCTAACAAGAGCTACAGTATTAACTGGGTATTAAATGACTTATAGTTAACATACCTATCCTTGCAATTTATAACATGAAGAGGCAGTAGTCTTGATGCTTATATCAAAATAAGCATAAAGCAATACAATCTCAACATTCCATACAAAATTTATCCCATTCATTCCCAGAACATTCATCTAAGATGTATAGATTTCTGGTAGTCCAGCAAAAGACACCTCTTCAGAAAAAGAAAAAGAAAAGAAAAAAAGAAAGGAAAAGAAATACAGAAGTAACCAAAGCTTTTTATATCTCTTCAGGGAAAGGATTTTTAGGGGTGTATAATCCTGACCCACAAATCTTCCACCACTTGATGATACCAAATGAGGCTTCATCGTTTCACAAAAACAAGCCTTCTTCAGCACCACCTGCAGGTAAGGTCTCCCATAGAGCTGCACAGAAAGTTTATACACCTTTTTGCAAAGATTTTCCTGTGCTCCTTCACACGAAGGACTTCCAGCACCGAACTAATTAGGCAAGAGCAATATTGGAGGAACTCACCATCTTCAAGCACTTCAAGAAGCTGCTCGTACTAAACGCACTGAAGTCACAGACAAAACTTTTACATTTCAGAGCTAGGACTCAGAAGATCTGCACTCAGAGCCACCCAGGTAGCTGCACCACCCAGGAATGGGTCTGGTCCCTTGTCTGGCCCCTGCCTTTTGTCAGGAGCAATGGGGAACAGCTGTGTGGGCAATGCTGAATGCTTCCACCTGCATGCACAGGTGATAACACCCAGGAGTGTGTGGGGATGACAGAGACCTGGAGCAGCTGCCAGAGCTGAGCCCCCCTGGTTTACATCTCTCCTTTGGTTTAATAATCGTGCTGCACAGATTTGCTCCATTCTCATCTATGCTATCCTCTCCCTAGCTCTGGGTATACCAATCACTTCTTTATTAGTTCCACTTGCCCTCCCCTTGGAGGGCAGGACTTTCACTCCTTGGTGTCAAATCTGAAAAAACATAAGAGAACAGCTCCCTTATAAAGGCTGCACATTCTGCAAGTAGTGCTGCTCCTTTACCAGATGCCTTTCAGCAGAGCTGTTACAAAAAGAGATGAGAATGTAATGCATAATTACCCAATTTCAGGCAAATGTCAGGGGCGTATTTATGTTCTGCCTTGACCATAGTCCTTATTCTGGAAACAAGATTTTATTCATAAAAATGAACAGGAAATTCTGTATCCTGCAACCTTTCTGTGGACAGAAAACCATCAGTTACTGAAATCTGTTCTTTTACAGATAAGCCTGGCCATGAAGAAGACATTTTTTTCTGGCTAGAAAGCCTGAGACCTTCCAACTCCACATCAAAAGTAACATTTACTGGCATCTTAAATCCTATCGCATGCATTGATACTAATGTTACTATCATGTTCATTGTCTCCAAGGAGCATTACCCAACTTATGATGTGTGAGTACAATAGGAAAAGGTAGAAGAACATAGCAAATGCAGATTTACTCAAGTTACAGAGAACAGGGCTCTCACTTATTTAGTGGTACAGATTACAGAGGACCTCCTGCACCTATGTCTAAAGTTCTACTGTAATTATTAACCTACTCAAAAAAAAAAAAAAGAAAGAAAGAAAAAAAGAAAGAAAAGACTTACCTACTTACCTACTTACAAGGACTTACCTACTTTCCTTCCTAGAAACAATCTGTACAACACAAATGCTCATTTTGACTGGGGGGACTTCCGGACCCTTGCAGAGGAAATCAGAGAGGCCTCTTCAAGCTTCCTCCTCTTCATTTTCCAGTTCCATCACCCTGGTACCTATGTTTTACGACTGAGTAGCAATCAGCACAAAAAAATGGTTTGTATCAAGGAATCCTATGTATATATTTATGCCCCTGTCAGTGGAGTATTTCGTGTTCCACAAAGTGGTTTGGAATAGAAAGAAATGTTAACAGTTGCGGTGAACATATTTTCATAGCGTACTGGTGAGTACAGCAGTAAGCAAATGAGTTTATGTGTGTGTCTGTGTCACACTTATGAGTCCAAAAGATGCAACTGCAGCAAAGTTCTGAGTCAGTGTTACAAACAAAATAACACTTAATATTTAAAACAGTAGGCCAAATCATGTATGACTTAGCATTTCTATTTATGCTTATTTCATTAAGTATGTTAAGGTCATGCCACTGGGTGGACAGTGTTATGAAGACGGTCCATTCTTCCCCACAACTCCCAGATATGCTGTACAGGTGGGCATTGCAAAAAAACAAGACCTCCTACTGAAGCTTGACTGGACAGCTATTATAGGATTGATCATGGGACTTCTCATATTTCTTATTGCCTTCCTGCTATTAATTGTAAGTATTACTTATACAACACCTCATTTCTCAGGACAAGATTTTGCACAATGAACAAAGAAGTCATCTGTTCCCTTAGACACCACCTCAGAGCTGAAAATTAGAATATAGTGTAACTCAACTTCATCTTGTAGATACGGGGATAAAATTCCTCCCTATGAATTGATTCAGCTCCTCTGAAGCTCCAATATGACTATGCAATACAGAAGCCAGTTAGAAGCACTCAACAGATGCATTAATTTCATTCAAATTTTCTGGTTCACTAGATCAAACCATAATGCTCTCCACAATTCACCTCTCCTCAGGAAGAATCAATGAGAGGACAATTATGTGTTTCTTTATAATCTACATGCACCTGCCTCAAATTAGAGGAACGAGAGATGAATCCTATAAAGAATTACAACGATCATTCACATGACAGTCAGTTTGGCACTCCTTAGTCAGACAAAAGTCACACTGATTGCAACATATCTGGAATCAAATTTGCTATTTTACAGTAAACAAGCGGGAGGGTCCTTTAAACCGTAAATCCCTCCAACAGCCATTCCTTAATATTTCACGTGTCCTGAAATCAGCATGCTTTTAGGCTTTTTCCGGAACCAGAATACTGAAATAATGAGAGAAAATGAGATTTATTCATTCAGCAGATCCAAACAACAGATAACTATTTCCTTCCTGATGGCTTTGGCCTAATCTGTTAGGATTAATAACTCTTCTCTCTTAGAAGAGATCGCTCGAATTATATAGTTAGAAAATGTGCTTATTGAGGGAATAACACGCAAAGCATGTAACAAATATGTCAAAATAAGAAGAGAAACTTAACTAGTTTTGTTGTGTTTTGCAGCTTCTTTGTCAGCGACTTAGCTGGTCTCAGAAAGGCATTACCTACCCCCTATTTCGAAGGCAGCAAATGAAATATAATCTTGACAGATATTCATCCAATTTATCAACAGTCTTTTCCATTAAGAAACCTCATCGCTGTCTGCAGAACAAAGGTGGTCTGGATGCTGACTGTTGCGGCACTGGTGAAACAAAAGGTCAGATAACAGGAAGGCTCAGCAACAGTTGGTCTACCTGTCTCCAGAGTGCTTACATATAATGGAGCCAGGATCCTATCTCTAATCATGTGCAATGGCCACTAGATTGAGTGATTTCCAAAATCATTCTTTGCTCAAAAACACTCTTGAATGGAAAACCTACTAATAAACAAATATCCTTATTTCAGCCTTCTTCTTAAAAAGAGGTGATACTTGGGAACCTGAAGAAGAGATAGACCTCGAGTCATTTAACACCAATGTTTTCTTTGAACTT